TATATAGTAGAGGGGCATATTATACCTATAACCCTACAAGAATCCATTCTCTTCGATCGAGTGCGGATCCGGTGACTAGGGGGGTGCTTAGTCACTTGACTAAGCCCCTCCCAGCCCTTAGATCTGGACACATTTAATTAAAGACATGGGTAGTTTGGGTATTATGGAAAATTACGAAGTATACAAACCGAACTTACAATCAGTACAAACCATACAAACAGTACAAACTAGAGCGACAAAACATACAAACAGATTTACAAACATTACAAACATATGAATTGTACAAAAAATACAAACTAGACCGACAAATAATACAAACCATACAAAAAGAAAAAACAACCAGGTTGACTTTGGAGGCTCCATCCCTATATAGAGGGGCTCCTTCCCAAAGTCAAACCGGGTGTTTTTTAGACATACAAATAGTACGAACATGGTGGACAAAAATGACAAACTAGACCGACAATCCATAAGAACTGAAAAAACACCCGGGTTGACTTTGGAGGCTCTATCCCTATATAGAGAAGTTACATCCAAAAGTCAACCAGGTTGTTTTTTAGACATAAAAAACATTACAAACATGGTTGACAAAAATAACAAAATTTACAAACATTACAAAATAACAAAGCGTACAAACATTACAAAGTATGTCAACAAACACCACAAAGCTCTCTCTCGTAACAACAAAGCAGAAATGGTGGCAGGGGAGGGGGAAATATAATTCCCATCAGCTCACTCTCTCTCTCTCTCTCTCTCTCTCTCTCAATCACCCACCAAAAAAACCAACAAAGGGGAAAACCCCTAGCCACCGTCAGGGCCACCAAAAAACCCACGCCGCCGCCAAAATTCCATGGACCGACGGGGAGATCGCGCAAGAAGGGAGAGGTCTGAACTGTTTATTTAATTAACAAATAAAATAATAATGAAATTACTACATTGCCCTTCCTTTAATTGAATTAATTAAAACCATTAGATTTTAATGAAGTTGAAGGGCTGAGATCAACTTAGGCAAGTGACTAAGGGACCCCTCTTAGTCACCAGATCTTATCCCCTCTTCGATCCCTTCTGCCATATTATTGAATCAGTTTTGAACCTATTGCTTCTTTCTTTCCCTAAGGTCAGAGTGGCGGATATGAGGTGAAGTAGAATACTGTTAGAAACAAAGTTTCTAACGGGTTTCTAGATCATATTTAGAGATTGGGAATTTAGGGTTTATAGAATAGAATTGGGGGTTTAGGGATTTGAAGAGAATTTGGGGAAGAATAGAAGAGAATCAGCCTAAGCCTTTAGAGGGATTGAGGTCAAGAATTGAGAGGATAGGGAGAGGGATTAAAGAGATAATTCTTTTATTAACTTCTGTTTTTCTTGACGAATGACCCCAAAGTACATATATATAGGGAAATACTAGAAAGCCTAAGAATAAACCTAATTCTACTAGAAGACTACTAACCATAATAAGGATTACCATAATAGTAATTATAATAATAAATATAAGATCCCGAGATAATTCGGTTTCTAACATCTCCTCCCCCTTTAGACCAACCTTGCCCTCAAGGTTGACCGACTTGACCCATTTCTTCCAACCTTCTCGCCCAATCCGATCATCGCTTCTCTGCTGCTTGCGCTTCCTTTTCTTCCAATCATGCTCCAACTCTTCACTTAAACTTCTTGCACCAATCTTCCCATGTGGACCCATCTCTTCAAAGCTCACTTTCATGGTCCCACTACTCGCTCCCTTCTTGTACAAGAATCCATAATTGAGCATCAATCCGTTAAGGACTTCAAAATCCCTATCGGTGGCCATGCGAATCTGATCCCTTCAAGAGTTCGATGCTCTAGGCTAAAGTTGCTCATATGGAGCCCATTAGTTCCTTTAGTTAACCCTTTACTTGCTTCTGGCCCATATTTCCTTGTGAGCTAGCTCACTTGCTAAGCCCATGAACTCATCTCTTTTTTCCCTGCAGCCCACTCCATACAAAAGGCTATCTACAAGACAACCCAATTTTAATCTCAGTCTTGTGAACTTGGCCCGTTGCTCTTTTCTTATTCCTTCTAATTTGGCCCAAGACCACGCTCTCTTCCTGCCCATTTGTTTATCAGCTTCAGCCCACTTAGTCCAACTCCACTGAGTACACTCCGGATCGGGCTCGGCCCACTTGACTTGGCCCAACGAGGCGGCTCGCAGCTGTGCGACGCAACCTAGGGTTGCAAGAGGGAGAGCGCCTCCCCCATTCACCTCACCTGCCGCCAGCTCCTCCTCCCCTTCCGTCGCCGATTCTTCCTTCCCCGGCGGTGATGGTCTCCTCAGGCGACAGGAAGACAAGCTCAACCCGGTCACCATCTTCCACAACTCCATCTCCCCTAGCTCGGACCCCGTCTCTGTCGTTGCTCCTCTCCCCGGCGACGCCGCTACGAGTGGCTCTGGCCTCTTAAAACGTGGATCCGGCGGAACCTTTATCTCCATTGCCGACCGTTCCTTCTTCACTTCTATCGCCGACGACTGCACACAGGCTGACCACCTCCATCTTTCTTCTTCCCCGTGAAAAGACGACAAGACATGCCCTCCTCCTTCGTCTTCTTCTTCCTTGCTGCTCCCCCCGCCGTCGACGCGCCAGCCTTCGTCGGCAAACAGCCCACACGGCGGTACGAGTCACGTCGATATATGGCTCCGCCTCACCTCCGCTCGGCGGCGCGACCCAAACCACCGCCAATCGCCGCGTTCCGCGCTTGATTCGGATCTCCTACACCTCCGTGTCTCGTGCGCTGTCGATTCCTGCTCCGAGCTCCACCCATGACTTAGCCCTCATGGGGAGCAGTCTCTTCTTCTTCTTCTTCTTCTTCCAATCTTTCCCCGGCGTCCCCATCCTCGGCGGCAACCCATTCTTCATACGGTACGACCCGCCTACTCCTGACTTCCTCTTTCCGGCTGTCAAAGTCCGCAGAGCATCAGGTCGTCGCCTCCGTGATGCTGTTGTGATCTTAGGAGCGCCCCGATCACGGTGTGACGCGCCAATTGACTTTCCCCTCCGGCGAGCGGCTCTTCTTGCGAGCAGCCCACCTCGCTTCCAGCCCCACCTCCTCGTCGATGGAGGCCTCCCTCATCAACTTCCTTGTTTCGCCACCCGCCATCGTCGTCTCCTTCACCGGCAACAAGTCTTCCATCCGGCAGCTCGGAGTCCCGGCAACGGAATGTAGAGAACCCATCGGCGTCTGCTTCCCTCCCTCGTTGCTCATCTCGACGTCGTCATCCGCCGTGGTGCTTATCGGAGACGGCTGCTCGTCGGGTCCGCCAACACCTGTGGGCGGCTGCTGCCTCGCCGTAGCGTCATTACCGCCGTCCTTAGCGTCTGCTTTCCCACGACGCAACGCGTATGACTTCCAGTACTCCACGATCTGCCATAATCGTTCTTAGGGTTCTATCAATTGTGAGGGGTGATTGAGAATTTAGGGATTTGAGGATAGAATTGGGGAAGGACATAAATGGGGATTAGAAGATAGAAATAGGGATTAAGATTGGGAATTAGAGGAAGAAGAAGAATAGAAGATAGAATCGGCCGAAACTTTAGAGGGATAGAGAATGAGAAATTAGGAGACAGAGGATTAGGGTTTTGGGAGAGATACTTTCTGAATAATTATTCTTGCTTAATTCTAACGTAAACCCCCAAGTACATATTTATAGCTAAAAACCGGAAAACCTAATAGACTATCCTAATTTGACTCAAAGACTATTAATCATATCTAAATAAATCCTAATATTAATAATTATGATAGAATCCTAAATTTGACTCAAAGACTATCATCCCCTCCCCCTTGAGACCAACCTTGCCCTCAAGGTTGACCGACTCGATCCACTTCTTCATGCCGTCCATGCAATCCGCAACCAACCTGCAGCTCGGCCCTCTTTTCTCTTAAATTCGACCTATTCGGCTGGTCAGACTTCAGTCCGATCTTCAAGTATGTCTGGGGCCCGATCTCTTGGTTGGCCTGAGCCATGGTAAGCGCATTTTTCTTCTTTTTATTCTCCGGGTCGTGACCAAGACATGCTTGGCATTTCCCTGCCCATTTGTTCACGTCTTTTGGCCCATTACATCACGTAGACACACTCCCTTGGCCCAATCCCCACAGCTGCAGGTAGCACCAGAACAGGATACCGCCGCCTCCCTCCTCCGGTGATATCTTCTGCTCGCCCCTATGGGTGGGCGACGATGTCGTCATCTCTGACTTCCAGTCCATCGTCTCCTTCAATGGAGTCTCCAACGATTGTGGTTCCACTTGTGCTTTTCGCGTTCCCGAAGGCACAATACGGTCCCAAGCCGTCGCCTCCACCCTGCATTTTTGGCCAATGTCGAGATCTGTCGATCGCATAACCGGAACCTCCATAAAATATAGAACTCTATTTCTAGGGTTCTATCAATTGTGAGGGGTGATTGAGAACTTAGGGATTTGAGAATAGAATTGGGGAAGAACATAATTGGGGATTAGAAGATAGAAATAGGGATTAAGATTGGGAATTAGAGGAAGAAGAAGAATAGAAGATAGAATCAGCCGAAACTTTAGAGGGCTAGAGAACGAGAAATTAGGAGACAGAGGATTAGGGTTTTGAGAGAGATACTTTATGAATAATTGTTCTTGCTTTTGAGCCCACTTCAGCTCCGATATATCGGTTGAACTCATCTGGATTTGATCTGGTAGGAAGCTGTCCCTGAAAGAGTTTTGATGAACTCGTCTTCCGGAACCAGGCTCTGATACCAGATGTTAGAAACAAAGTTTCTAATGAGTTTCTAGATCAGACTTAGAGATTGGAAATTTAGGGTTTATAGAATAGAATTGGGGATTTAGGGATTTGAGGATAATTTGAGGAAGAATAGAAGATAATCGGCCTAAGTTTTTAGAGGGATTGAGGTCAAGAATTGAGAGGATAGGGAGAGGGATTAAGGAGATAATTCTTTAATTAACTTCTGCTTTTACCCCAAAAGTTATTTGCTTTTTCCTCCTCCCTTAATCAAAGCTATTTGTTTCCTTTATAGCTTGTGGTGAACATGCTTATTCTGCATTAATATGATGAGTGAAGTCTCTGTATGTGTACGCTTACTGGTATTATTTTATCTTATTGACCAATTACTCTCACTTGTTGGTGAAGACTATCAGAAGACAGAAGCCTCTTTAGTTGGTGCTATTCTGTCAAAAGTTGTTCCTGCAGCGTTCTCAACTGAAACTTGTTTTTCTAGAATGATATGTGTACTGACACCACCATTTGTTGTGGCAGCATCTGTTCTGACCTGCTTGAAAGATAAACCAAGGAAAGGGGAGAAATTAACATTGTCACCCAGTGGGACGTTGGCTGCAATTACAGACTCCCTTGGCCTAATAATGCTGTTAGACACTCAAGCCTTGGTAGTGGTTAGACTAGAGAAGGTCTTTCCCCCACATCCCTCTCTCTTTAAGTTTCAGGATCTTTTGTAAGCTATGTATCTGTGCTCTTATCTCTGTAACTTGTATACCAGGGATATCGCGATGCTAGCTGTTTGTTCATGGAAATGCTGATTAACAATGATAACCCAGGAAGCCATTCATCTTATCATGAACCAGTGAAGAGTGATTACTGCCTCTGCCTAGCTATTCATGCACCACGGAAAGGAATCGTGGAGGTGAGCTTTCCATTCATCATCACGGATATACTATCAATCGAGTGGGATTCTGGTAACAGGATTTGAGTTGTCTGCTTGTTCGAGTGGGATGCTGAACTGTGATGGGTTTCCTAATTTTGGTGGCGACTCTGTTGATTCAACTAGGTGTGGCAAATGAGAACCGGAGGACGTATTCTGGGCGGTTCAGTATGGGAAAGGGAGTAAAATACTGCAACCCACATACAGGTTTAGATCGGTAGTGGACGACGGCTCTCCGTATGTTCCTCTTGAAGTGTTCTTGTTGAATGGAGAATCTGGTCAGATCTCGGTGTTGAATCGATCACTTCACTAGCTAATGTCTTGAGTTACTCAATCTTTTTTCAACCGTTTTGTTGTTGTGGTAGTTAGCTTTTGATCTATTGAGATTCATTCATTGTTGCCTGTGTCGATGTGATTGGTAATATGCAATATACCAATGGGAACAACACATAATTTTGATGAAGTGTACATAAATGAGCGCGTTCTGCTTTTATTTTCATGCATAAGTCATCAGTGTTGTCATTGTTCCATAACATCGGTAGGGTATAGGTGAAGTATATATGAATTTGAGTTTTAGTGGATGGATTAGGGTAGAGCATGAATATTACGTTTAGAAAATGTTCAAATTACTCGAGTTGTTGGGAAAAGATTATACTGGATCTTATAACACTCTCTAAGAATTCCATCTGATATGATGGGTGCCAAATATCAATTGGATGCCACGAGGAATGAAGATTACTTATTTCATTAATATAATGTGAAAATGATTTATACAAGAAGTGATACACGAATCTTGTGTTACATAGAATACAGGACACATGAAGAAGAAATAATTGTATGCTAGACTCAAGGGAATGAGTGTGTCCAATTGAATTGTAGACTTGTAGTTAGGGCTAGAAATGAGCCGAGCTACTTGCGAGCAACTCGAGACTCGAATCGGGAAAAACTCGTTCGAAACTCGACTCGTTTACTAACGAGCCAAGTTTGAGCTTAGCTTTGTTCAGCTCGCGAGCTAGCTCGACTCGGTAGCTTGTTGAGCTCAACTCGTAAGTTGGCTCATTTAGAGCTTATGAGATGTCTCAACATTATGGTTTGAGGGCCAACCTGATCACCGACTTATGGAAGAATCGATCTAATTTGGACTTTCATAATTCATAGGATTGTTAAATTTATATATCTCACATCATGTGAAGTTTAACATGTTGAACATGTAAGAAAATATGCCTTATTTTTAATTCTATAAAGAAATTATGTACAAAATTGTTTCGATACAATGAAATAATTAACATGATTTGAACTAGTTAAAATTTATTAACTAAACAATATGACACCTACAAATTAAATATAAGATTAATTAATGTTGAACATTTGATTTTTTTTTATCGTTACATCAATCACATGTACCATACACGACATACAAAATAAATATATCAAATACGATCTAAGAATTTAGTAAGCAAACCTAGCTCGAACTCGATTCGACTCGGCTCGTTAATAAATGGTTCGCGCTCAGCTCATTTGTTAACGAGTCAAGCTCAAGCTGGGATAAAACTCGGCTCAGTTCGGCTCATTTGCAGCCCTACTTGTAGTCCATTGTCCTTTTGAGATGCAATGTTGACTGAATCGTTGGTCATCCGTGTCTGCTTTGATTCGATTTCCAATCTTTCATATAAACCAACAAATCATGTCAAAATCGATACCAGAATCTAGGATGGAAAACTTTGGCCACTCACTTAACGGTTTTTGGTAAGTGAAGTCATTAAATAAAGAAATCTAGAGAAAGAAAAATAGAGACGACTTCATAGTTCATATGATACGAGAGCCTTCAAATTGGGCATCCCCTTAAGATCGATGTTAAAGAAAATAGCTACATATATACAACTAATATACATAAACAACTTTAGTACGCATACACTATAATGTACATAATAATATGATAATATATGTATGTTTTCATATTTATTAGTTGTACTTTGTCCTAATTCGACAAATTAAAACGTATGATTATTATTTTTAATTAAGTTGATCTTATAATTTATCGTTATAAGAACAAGATCTGAAATTTACTTATAAGAAGTTAGAATATAATATCATTTACAAAATTCTAGTTAATTCATAATGTAAATAAATAAGCTACGATAAATTTTGAGGCTCGATCTTCTTCCTCTTCGCCTTTCTTAAAAAAAAAAAATTAAAAAAATTTTGTATGTTGGGAGAAGAGCCCAAGACCGCACATTACTAATATTCAAAATTCCTCTTCAATTCCCTCAACAACGTACACACGAGGAGTTGTCAAAATTAGATATTTCATCAATTAATCCACACTACAAAAACCAGCCAAATTCAACACACACCAGGAAATTAAACCCATCCATCAAGAAAAAGAAAAGAAGAAAGAAAGATCATATAGGCTCCTCCTTTCTTCACAATTTCTTTCTTTCTTTTCTTTTGTTTTCATGGGAGATTATAATTCCTAAAAAACAACGAAAGAAAGAAAAAAACCCACAAGAGGAAAAAAAAAACAAAACAATGAAGAGGAAGAGCGAGCTGCGGCCACAGGCATTGTTCAAGCTCATCAACGGCGGCGGTCAGAAGAGATTTCAGAGCTTCGTCCTGTACGTCCTCCTCTTCGGCTGCGGGCTGGCCTTTGGCGTCATCGTCTGCCTCTACCTCCGCGACATCTCCTTCTACCTCCGCCTCTACCAATTCTCCGCCCACAACCCTCCGCCCACCAAACTCTCCTCCTCCTCCGCCGCCGTCATCATCCCCTCCTCCTCCTCCTCCACCACGCCGCTCTTCCCCAAAGACGAGCCCGACGCGGCTGAGAAAGAAACATCAACGTCGTTTTCGCTGGTGTCGCCGTTGAGACCCTTTTTACCGTCGTTCCTGACGCAGTCGAGGACGAGCATGGGGGACAAGATGGTCGACGCGGCGGCGGAGGAAGAAGGGAGGAGGAGGAAGATAAAGTGCACGGTGTGCCACGAGATGAACGACGAGGAACTGCTGTGGAGGGCTTCGATGGTGCCGAGGATCGTGTCGGTGCCGTTCCGGCGGGTGCCGAAGGTGGCGTTCATGTTCCTGACGAGAGGGGCGCTCCCCCTGGCGCCGCTGTGGGAGGTGTTCTTCAGAGGGCATGAAGGGTTGTATTCTATTTACGTTCACAACCTGCCTAATTACAACGACACCGATCCCCTCGACTCTGTTTTCTACGGCCGGAGGATCCCCAGCAAGGTCGGTTGTTCTCTTTTTTTTTCTTTTTTTTTTTTCCTTCCTTTCCTTTCCTTTCCTTTCCTTTCCTTTCCTCTCTCTCTCTCTCTCTCTCTCTCTCTCTCTCTCTCTCTACAGACACACACACATTTGCTTTCTACATTTTTCGGGTTCGTTCGTGATCGTTTGAGCAAATGGTTTGAACCGCTATTAGAAGGCTTTAATTGTTGGTTGGGCCCACTTACTATAACAATATTTGTATTTATTGATGGCAATGGGGCGGACGAATACCTCAATACTTATAATATCATCTCAGCATCACGTATGAGTCAGGTCGGGTAATGCGGGTATGCGAGTTGGGGCAGGTCAGCTTTATTTATTTTTAATGACAGAAACAAATGAAAAACATTTCATAAAATTGGAAAAAGAGAGATAATATGTAGATTAATTGAGTGAAATTAGTCGAAAGATTAACTTTTTCGTGCACTTATCTACAGTATCATTGAGTGAAAAATTTATGGAGGAATGCTTACACTTATTTTAAGTATCATTGGGGGTGAAATTTTGGTTAAAGATAAGTAGAAGAAGAAGAAATACTATAAATACTATGGAAAATCAAGAATGAACGCGGGTCAAGAACGAGGCGGGGTAGGATGAAAGTAGTACCCATACTCCGTCCCACACTACTATAGGACGAGTATTACCAATCCCGAGCACCTGTCAGTTCGGGTAATAACACATGAGATGGGTTCAAATTGTCATCACTATTAATATAGTATAGTAGTAATGAAGCATAATTTTTTATGCATAATTTTACATATTTTATTCAAAGTAGAGCGACGCTACAATCCCTTCTGATTTCAACCTGACTCCGCCCCTGCTGCATATCATATTAGATTGTGTATGATACCGGATAATCGGGGATAGTCGATTTTTGTGATACGATGATGTTATATGTTTTTTTCCTATCTTTTCTGACATTTGATGACTTCTGTATTTGTTTTTGGTAACACTCTAGGAGGTTGGTTGGGGTCAACCGTCAATGATCGAAGCCGAGCGTCGACTGGTCGCCAACGCTCTCCTCGACTTCGCCAACCAACGGTTTGTCCTCTTATCAGAAGCATGCATCCCTATCTTCAACTTCACAACGGTCTACAACTACCTCATCAAGTCAACCCACACCTTTGTGGAGGTCTACGACCTCCCAGGCCCAGTGGGCCGAGGTCGCTACAACCCATGGATGAAGCCCCAGATCCAGCTCGACCAGTGGCGGAAGGGCTCACAGTGGTTCGAGCTGGACCGAAAGCTGGCCATCAAGATGGTGTCGGACCAGACTTACTTCCCCGTCTTCCAGCTCCACTGCACCGGCCTCTGCTACGGCGACGAGCACTACCTCCCTACCTTCGTCCACATCAAGTTCGGCCACCGGAACTCCAACCGCACGCTAACATGGACCGACTGGTCTAGGGGCGGTCCCCACCCGAGCAGCTTCTCCGACCAGGACGTCACACCGCAGCTGCTGGAGGGGATGAGGAACGGCAGCCATTGCGTCTATAATGGGAGACAGACCAGTTATTGCTATATGTTTGCCAGGAAGTTTAACTCGAATGCATTGGGTAGCTTGTTGAGAGTTGCACCGCGCGTCATGCACTTTTAGGCCCGGATCGAGGAGCATTCCAGCAGAGGGAGATTTGTTTGATTCTTGATCACAAGAAGAAGATAGGGATCTGATGCATAAGTGTTGATACGATCGTATCTGATTCGTCATGAGAAGATACCACGTCGTGATGAAATATGTATGTGTCATGTCGAGCGCGAGGAAGATATTAGCGGGTATGTTGCTTTCGGATCAGCCGCGCACCGCGAAGAGGAGTTGTGTGTGATGATAAGTTATAAGTAGGCTGACGCATGATTTTTTACTCATCGTATTGTTATTTGTCACATTGTTTGGGGATATTGTTTGTTGTAATTTGTAAATATTACAATGTGTTTGATTTGGTAATAGGTTTGATCATATTTGACTAGTGACCACAATATTTTGAGGTGACAATTATGTAGTATAGATGTGAATATGGTTGTTAATTTCAAAATTAACAAAATTTATAACACTAAAGTCTCTTCCCCTCCGCTTTTTCGTTTGTTGTTATTTTTTTTAAATATGAGATAATATGTAGTGAAATCTTTGCTCTAAGTCTTGAAAGATGTCTACATAAGTTGCTTAGAATATACTAGTCATAAGAGAAATTTTGATAATTATTTTGTGTGGGATGAAAATTAATCAAATTAGAAGTTAATAAATTAATATCGATCATAAAAATGTGCAATAGGTGACATCCCAAATGTGTTGTAGGAGGTAGAACAAGAGGATTTTAGACATGCGAATCAAAACGACGCTTTAAATCAATTGGAGGCGATTCTAAGTCAATCAACTATGATAGATAAGAAACTCTGGTTCAAGCCTCAAGGAGTGAGTTAAATAATATAATTCAAGTTTTTTAAATTACATCATTGAATTATGCTATATATGTACTTAAGTCACTGTTGTTGGTTTTATCTTTCATTTAAGTTTAAGTTATCTTATGTATGTTCAACTTTCAATTTCACTAAGCATGGCATGTCATGATTCATAAGTAATTATGTTTTGGATAGTAAGAGAAAGCAAGTTACATTTAAATAAGGCAACTAATATCTTCCCATTGTGCAAAAGATCAGTGAGACAAGAACACTTTTTTTAGAGAGAAATTAGTGAGGCAAGAACACTTTATTGAACCAGTAAGAAATAATATTATGTTTTAACCCTCGCTTAACAAGTCACACAAGATCACCTCACTTCCCATAGCAAGAGAGCCTATTATGTAAAGAACCTCGCTCTTGGGTAGTAACCATGTTATGAACCCCCACTCTAAAGAAGTTACTTTTAAGTATGTTAGTAGCCCACAAAGTGGGGTATCTTGTTTCTCATTTGAGGAAACCCAATTATAAGCAAATTGGTAATCCGACTATATACTAGTTAAGTTGGGAGCGATGTCCAATTTCCGAAAACTAATAAGAAACTTATTTCAAGTAAACGAATAAGCTTTTAACCCATGAACATGTGCATTTATTAGTATGTTGGATTATTTCCTTGTCATGTGAAAATGAACCTAGGATTAAAACTGACCCCACACACAAACTCGGGGTTTGGAGGAGCACAAAAACATATCACATATTCAATAGTTCATCACAAGGATTATTGACTCTAGTGACTCCAGAAGCATTTTTACCTTACTTATTTATAGCACCGACTATCGTAATCTTAGGTCTGACTGTATTTAAGTTGATTTTTCTTGCAATAATAGGTAAATTTATGAAATGGGTCCACTAATGAAGATATTACATGGACTTTAAAGCATTGTCCATGAAACCATACCAGAGATCGTATCGGAAAAGTCAGTTGTAGGATATTTTATGACAAAACTGTGGTTTAACCGTAGTTCAACCGTTAGTACAGTTAAATACCGCCTACCATATTAGCCTCCGTTACTGGTATTTCGTGGTTGAATCGTCGGTACGGTACGGTTTCATGGACCGTGCTTTAAAGTCTAAACACATGAAATTAAAAATTATTCTCAAAGTAGTCACTCATACTTGAGTCTTTATATATTTGAGGTTAGTCAAATTGAACTTACACGCTTAGTTGCATACTTTTGTAATGCTTCTTGACCCTTAGTTGAATGCATATTAAAACAGAATTGGGTATGTATAAGTGTAACAGTGGTTTGGTTTATGCATCATAGGAAAATCTTTTGTTTATCATTGGCCAACCACATAATTGTATGTTCGAATCACATGCTCCCGCCGCTTAATATCCATGGGGCAAAAACAAGTGCACGTACAGGCCAAAGGCGAAACTAGTGGTTCAACCATTTCATACCGTTAAACATCATCTATCAGTACGATATTTTTATGGTCAAACCGCCAATAGGATATGGTTTCACAAACACTAGTACATACATGCCAAAGGTCATTGTCATATAGAAGAAAAACATCACTCTCCAATATTCATCGGTTAGAAAACAAGCATAGCTTCTCGTCTTTCAATCAGTGAAGCACCAAACCGCAGAGTGCAGGGCCAATTTCCTCTCTTCCAAAAAAATAAATAGAATCTTACACTTGCAACACAGAGAAAATAACGTAAAGTTTGAAAAGTTTGGACACAATTGAACATTCCCTAGCTAGTAATGCACAAGTTAGCATCTTGAAAGGCAATTGTCTGAAACCTTATAGCCATCTTTCCTTTAATATCTCCCTGAACTATCCTCCAAATCATGAACATGGCTCAAGTTCCTAATTGGTTACCCTAACATATAAATTGCTCACCTGCATCATAACAGCGCTTTTGAGTTGCAATTTTTCATCTTCTTCCACTTCCAATATGGCGACAATCCTAGATAGACCTTAAATTAGTCCCAAAAGAATTGGAGGCATTTACATACCTAGTTAAAAACAGAGGGCGCACTGATCCTAGTGCATGATAACGTCTCATTCACTCTCATCATCATCTGAACTCTCTGAGCTTGAGCTTGAATTTTTTACATGTCTCTCTGCAATTGCAGGCATCAACTTTGAACGTGGATCGGTTGGAAGAGGAGGTTTGCTTTGTGTATTAGTGGAAGTTGATGATGCAGTAGAACTCTCTTTCTTAAGTGCTTTGTTGGCTAACTTTTTTTGTGCTGTCCCTACTTCCTTGCACACCTTGTCCAACATCACTAAGAAGTCTCGTACAATGGTGAACAACCGCAACCCTTCGTCCCTGCCTGAATTGCCATGGAAATAATCACCTGTGTTCTTTACCAAAACTGTAATTCTCTTTTCTTCCTCAAGCAATGACACAACTTCGCCCTCGGAGCTCTGCACGAAACTCTTTAGCACGTCATGAAACCCACTATCCTCCTCTAAATCCTTCATTTCTTTGTTCAAGAACTCCTTAGTTTTCAATTGTGCGTGACCAAGTTTAGATACAGTTCCTGTCAATCCGTCAGCATCAATAGCTGCTGCTTTCTTGACATTTTCCAGGTCACTGCTCAAACGAGACACCACTTGAAGACCAAGGGCGCGATAGTGATCCTCTGTTTCTGGAGAAATCTCCTCAAGGAGCTCTTCTGTTTTTACACTCGAGAAGCTCATGCTCTCTTTCCTTGCACGGGCAGCCCGAACTCCTTCAGAACGAACCATCTCTTGGACCACAAAATGCAACAGTGTGGTCTTGCCATCAACTCCCTTAACATCTGATAGTTTCAAAAGAGTGTCAAGCTTGAATGCTTGTGCACTACCACGAAAGGTGCCATCGTTCATCCGGTTTCCAGTTTTTAGGACAGCTTCTAGAAGCTTGAGGAACAACCGGCTGTTCCTGACTTCTTTAGAAGCAACCTATGAACCCAAAAGACAAATAAATAGAGAGGAATCAAAAAAACCATTATGGATGCAACGATCACTTATTAGTAGTAATGAGAACTTAAATGTGTTAAACCTAACCATGCCTCTACATGATTTATACCCAAAAGTAGCACACATATGGAGAAATCCATGTAAATGGGCGTATAAACACTTCTTTACATGTGCATGCTCATCTACTTAGTAACATTCAAACACTTCACTAGGACCATGGACCCGGAAAATAAAAAAATTCTCCATATAAGTGAGGACTTTTTGCCAAACTACTAAAAATTTCAACTAATCCAAACTGTCATTTTACTTGTATCAACCTAGTCAATCGAGAGACAATTAGCGTTAGAGAAATCACCTAGAGTGCTACCAGACTGCTCATGATAGGATATCATTATCTCGATAAGAACATATTTCCACACTAATATCAAGAACTTAAGTTTACAAACTCCTATTTTCACAAAATGATTGGCTCTAAAATCCAACACTACCTCTAAAGTGTGGAAGGATTCCATGGCATTGGCAATCTCTTCCTCCAGAGTGCCCATGAAAAGTAGTGCCTCCATACGATGAAAAGCAAAAGGGATATCAACCAATGCTTTCATGAATCGCTCAGCAGGCCCTAGTTGAGAAAGTTCACCACTGAACAACCTAAGTTTAAGTTCCTCGTCTGATGTGGGTGCCATCTTCAATAAAGTCTGAAGAAGCTCAGCAGGAAGCTCATTTCCTGATTAAGCAAACACAAAGCATAACGATTATCTATCAACAAAAAAGATAAAATTTGCAACATTTGACACACCACGATACTTCAAATAAAATTATAACATAGGATAAACTATCAAACACAAGTGATGAAACACTGCAGTTGTGTGACTAAAAATATGTGTGCTCATTAAGTGAAAATTCATGTGATACAATAAAATCATATAAAATTTCAGTCCAACCCTACCCCCTTGCCCAGAATGGTTGCAAGATGATCACCTTCAAGCAACGCATCACAAACTTCTTCCGTAGTAACATTCAAAGCGCGAAGTAGAATTGATAAGTTTTGAGCCTTTTTGGGTTCCAAAATTTGAATAAATTGTGAAGCAGGTTCTTGCGAAGAGTCTTTTTTCCGCTCAACTTTGCCTTTCTCGGGTGGTGTGTATCCAAATAAATTCTCTATCATCTCCTCATTGAACCTACAATAGTAATAGCAATATGATGATGCAACCGTAAGGTAATGAGCAAATGAGCGGTATCAAAAAGCAGAAGGGGGAAAAAGAAAAAAAGAGATTGCAACTCACTGGAAAGATCCTGATTTTATTTGATGCCACACCATTGCCTGATCCGGTGTAGCAGAAACTTTGTCCCAGAAGAATGGCTTCAATTTGGCTTTACTATCATCTCCCTCCGGACCTCTCATACCAGGAGCTCTAGGAATTTTTGGGCCCCCTGGCATGGGTGCACGGGGTGGTCCTGGAGCACCTTTTGAAGGCGGTGCAGGAGGTGGAGGCCCAGGTTTAGACCGACGAGCAGGAGGTGGTGGAGGGGGAGGTCCTGGAGGTGGAGGAGCCGCATTGACAGAAGAAGCTTTTGTCGATGGAGGTGCAGGAGGAGGTGGTGGGGCAGCTTTGGCATGAGGTTTCCGAAATGAAGGAGGTTCGGGTGGAAGAGGGATTGTTTTCCCTGGGGGAGGCTTCAATGGA